TCTAAAAATGCAGAAAAACTGGTTCATGCATTTGTCACGTCTAGACTGGACTATTGCAATGGTTTATTATCTGGGTGTCCAAATATTTCTTTTAAAAGTCTTCAGTTGATCCAAATTATTGCTGCTAGAGTCTTAACTGGAGTTAGTAGGAGAGATCTGTAATGACTCGGGGAACCCAGAGTTGTATGAGACCCGAGAACGAGACAGACACAGGGAGGTACAAAAGTAACAGTGTTTATTATTTACAGTGGATAATAGTCAGTTGCTTCTCTGCAGCTCCTGGAAGACAAAGGAGATGGTCAGAGGAGGCCGGCAGGGTAAACGGGCAATATTAATGTGATGATGTTTCTCTCTTACAGGTTTGAAGATGTCTTAGCTTGCATTCATTCTGTACACAAACTGCACTCGAGTTTTCTTCTACCAAGACCAAGACATAGGTTTTAGACCAGGCCAGAGTTTGCCTTTTTGTTCCGTGACAGAGTTCAATGGCCCGTTCACACCTTCCCAAACGAACTGGACTTCCTAGGCAAACGGACTAGAGTTCGGGACAACAGGGTTGGTGTGAATGCACCCTTAGGGTCCAAATCCATGGAAGAGCTCCAGATGGAGACAAGGCCAAGGGTCCAACAGGACAAGGGAGGCTGGCAACTGGTGGCAGGCAAGGCACAAGGAGAAACAGGACTAGGCACGAGGAGAACCAGGACAGGACCAAGGGAACCAGAACCGAGGAGACAGGATCGCATTGATAGTCAATGCTCCAGGAAAGAGTAACACTGGACTGCAGCCTTATGTAGTGGAGGTCCTGATCAGGTTGATGGCCGACAGCTGGTGTAAATTAATGGCCATCTTGGACGAGGAGCTGCAGTCAGTGGTAGTCTTACAAGATCATGTCTCTCCACTTTTAGCTTCTCCCCATGGCTCCCTGTTAAATTCAGAATTGAATTCAAAGTCTTACTTCTAACATACAAAGCCATCAACAACCTAGCTCCATCTTATATTACAGATCTTATTGTCCCCTATTTTCCTAATAGAGCACTTTGTTCTCAGAGTGCAGGTTTACTTGTGGTTCCTAGAGTTTCCAAGATGGGAGGAAGAGCTTTCAGTTATCAGGCTCCTTTTTGTGGAACCAACTTACAATTTGTTTTTGTAGAATTGTGGAACCAATTTCCATTTCTTAAAATGAATTTTTACAATTGAATAGTTTGCATTTTAAATTATTTTTGTCTTAAGATGTAATTCTCAACCTGCTATTGTGTATCTGTTCCTCCTTCCTGTTCCTCTCAAACCCAGCCGGTCGAAGCAGTCATTTGTCCTGAGCCTGGTTCTGCTAAAGGTTTCTTCCTCATGAGGGAGTTTTTCCTTTCCACTGT